ATAATCTCTCTCTCTCTCTCTCTCTCTCTCTCTCTCTCTCTCTCTCTCTCTCTCTCTCTCTCTCTCTCTCTCTCTCTCTCTCCAGTCATCTCACTCTCTCCAGCCATGTGAACGCTCGCCACCGACAGCCAGAACTGACCTCTGCTCCTCTGGTGTGCTGACGGAGGGGTCGCAGGTCAGTGACCTCTGCAGTGAGGTCACGGCACTGATTGTTGATGTAATGCGACAGCACCTCGAGCATATGATCTTCCTCTCTCTTTCTGTGGGTGTTTGTTACTGTTGCTCATTCTCACACTCCTATGGCAGGTCTTTCCCGCAATCTTACCCTAGTGTTATCAAAAATAGTTTGATACTGAAATACTCATTTCAATACTCATTTCCCGCTGTATAGATACACTGGTAGCTGCACTTTCTGGCTTTCTCTTCTCTCCGACATCAGGTTTCGTAGTTTTGGATGTTTGCAAGTTGGTGCATTTCAATTAAATTAATTACCAGTCAAAAGTTAGGAATAATTTTGAAAGCAGTCTCTTCTGCTCACAAAGGTGGCATTTATTTGGTCAAAAATACAGTAAATTATGAAATATTATTACAAATTAAAATTACTGTTTTCATTTGAATATATTTTGAAATGTAATTTATTCCTGTGATGGCAAAGCACATAAGTATTGCCAATATTTACTATTGTACAGCACAATAATTAATCTACATGAAATATTTTTATTTTACAGTACAGTTGTATTACAATAGTCTTGTAATTATGAAAATAATAATGAGAAATCTAAAAGAGTTTTAACTGATACGAAAATAAATTTAAATTTCATTTTTATAAATCTCGTTACTGTATTTTTTTTTATCAATTTAATGTGTCTTTGCTGAATACGTATTAATTTCTTTAAAAAAAAGAAACTCTTACTGACCCCAAACTTTTAAACAGTAGTGTATAATAATTATAATAATAATAATAATTTAATAGTTATTAAAAGAACAATAATTACAATATTACAATAATTACAAATAATTATAATTTATGATACAAGATGCCACTTATGCATTACAATATTAATTGGTATTGGTGGTAAATGTGTTAAACTGTTA